TTTTTTTAAATGGCTGGGAATAAAATCCAAGTTCAACCAGTGCCAAGAAGGCCCTACGTGATCTGGCCCCTGCCTGCCTTTCTACTCCCTCTGTCGCAGCCTCGCTCCACTCACACTCAGCCTCTCCAGCCACACTGGCCCCAGTTATTTTCCAGCACACCAGGTGCATTTCCACCCAGAGGCAAAAAGGTGACTTCTTATACAGGGATGAGGAATAGGGCACCAGAACCCGCCCCCCCCCCAAATATATCCTGATACCCAGAATCTCCATTTGAGCCATGACTTAACCCCCAACCACGCATTCCTTGGAAAATACAGCTGTGGTTTGTCAGCCTGCCTGATCCTGTGTGTCTATGGGCAAGTGACTTAATGTGCATGAGCCTCTGTTTCCTCACCTCTAAAATGGGGATGACTATACCCACCTCCCAGGGTTGTTGAGAGGATTCGATGATAAGTGAAGTAGAGGGCAGCTTGTCTGAGTGCTGCCCTGGCCAATGGTAAGAAGAACTGTGCTTTACCAAGGGCTTACCCTGGCTGGCTGGGTTCCCAGGAAGAGGTGTGTTTGACCTCCTCGGACACTCAGGTGGCCTCAAAGGAGGCAATATTGTGACCCCTATTTACAGATAAGGAAACTGAGGCTCAAAGAAGTCAATTAAACATATCTGAATGGGAAAAAAATGGAATATTTTTTAGCGTGTTGCAGAGGCCTGCAGGGAGGTGTTCTAGCAAAAGGCCTGGTTCAGGAGGAGGGGGAGGACCTGGGCTCGGACCCCAGCCCCGCCCACCCCACCAGGTGAAGCCCCCGTTTTCTTCGAGAGGAAGAATAAGGCTCCAGCTCACTGCCGTGCTGAGCAGGAACGAGACAACGTGCGTGAAAGCCTCCGCTGGGCCTTGCTCTCCTGCATGGTTATCACCCCCCAGAGGGAGCCGTTCTTTACATGTGGGCCTCCGCGCACTCCGACGGCTCAGACTCACTCCTCTATCTCCAAACCGCACAGAGTAGGCACCCGGTTCGTATAAGCTTTTTCAAAAATCGCATTCACGCTGTGTCACTTTCTGTAAACCGTCCAGGAATCGTGAGGGAGTTTTAAGTGTCCCAGTTTTTAGAGACGTGAGAACGGGGGCTCCAAGGGGCCACAGTGACTCACCTACAGTCA